CTTGGGGCGGGAGGGTCCCCAAGGCTGGCATTACTTTCCCCAGGAGAGGGGGCTGGGCACCGGCCCGAAGCTGCTGCGATCCCCCCAATACCAAGGCCATCCGCCCGTTCCATCTACCTGGACCCCCCAACGCCAGCTGCGCCTCAGCTTCCCACGGTGGGGTTCAGGGCAACAAAAGCAATTTGGGTAAATGACAGACTTTCCAGAGGCCCCACTGGGCTCTGCCAGACATGGCCGGACCCTCCAGCTCAGCCCCCACCTGTGCAAGGTGAGGGCTGCCGGCCCATCCCCGGAGGGCGGCAGCGTCCAGCCCGACAGCCAGCGGGTAGCAAGGCAGGAGGCTCTCCTCTCTGCCCAGCTAAACCCACCCAGGAAACGTCCCTCTGATGGCGGGACGGCCAGACGTTCCCTCCTGGCAGGTGAGGCTGGGGCAGCCCCCAGGGCTGGCTGCAGGTCCTGAAATACGTCAAGAGCCGTTCTGAACCTGGACGGGGCCCATCGCCACCTGGCAGCTGGCAGGGACCTCTGGTTGTGGGTGACAGGGTGGCGGACTCCTGGATTCCGGGAAAGTTCTCAGAAAGGTGGCCCAGCCATGCCAGTGGGCGCCACCAGAGGGCGCCATGCCCAGCCCGGGGAGCAGGGGCGGGCGGGGAAAGACCCAGACCATGTGCAGCTACAGTGGTTCCCACCCTCCCCGGAGCCCAGGGAGAAGGACAGAACTGTAAAAATCAAACAGGAAGAAAGAGACAGGCAGCGCAGGGATGGAAGAACTGTGGGAAATGAAAACATGGGCAGGAGAGACCTCAGGGGAAGACAGGACCTCGGGCAGGTGTGCAGCGTCCTCCCCCACCCCGCAGGGACAGCCCTGCCACAGGCTCCGGCTCGCCCGGGACGGCCCAGGGAGCCCCCACCTTCCAGGGGCGTGCCTGTGCCCAGCCCACACGGCGGCCCCCAAGACCCCTTGGAGCCCCTCCTGGGGGCACGTTGCTGGAACGCCAGCTCCCAGGACAGGCCGGGCCGGGCAAGCTCCGTGGAGCCCACTCGGCCCCTTGTGGGTGACCCACCCCTGCTCCGCGCTGGGGCGCTCCTCTACGCGGGAGGTGGGCCCTGCCCAGACCTCCAGCCCGGCTGGGAGGAGCCTGGGGGCCCTGGGTGGGCTCGGCCCCATCTCGGCTGCACCTGAGGACCTGGCCTGAGGCTGGATCAGGCCTCGCTGCCGCGTCCACTGTGTTCCTGGCTGCGTGTCTGCACCTCAGGCGGCTGTTTGGGCCGGCAGGCTCTGGCCGTGATGTGTGTGGAGCGGCCGGTCTTCCCCGTGAGCAGAGAACCCACGGAGGGGACACGGGCCTGGGCCAGCGCCCGCCTGCCCTGGACACTATGTTTCTCTCCCACCTGGCTGTCTCGGCTTCCGCCTCTTAGCCCAAGCTGGCATCCACCACCTGGACGGTGGCACCCGCTGCCTCCATCCCCTGCCCCGAGGTGGCCGGTTATGGTCTTCCTGAATCATCCGTGATGACAGTGTGGCATTCCTGAGAGTGGCAGACATGTGCGCAGAGCCTGTGACTGCTCCTATGACCAGATACGGACGTCAGCACGCGGCAGGCGTGAGATCCCACTTCACCCTCCTCACAGACCTGGGATGGAGGCGTGTATCACTCGGTCCCGTTTTACACATGAGAAACTGAGGCACAGAATAGTCAGGTGACTTGCCCAAAGCCACATGTCATGTAGGCAGTGCTGGGGGCAGACCCAGAGGCTGGCACAAGCTGGGGGATGGGCGGATGGGGGCCGACCCCATGACAGGGCCCGAAGGAGGAGGAAGCGCAGAGGATCCCCTAACCCTACCTCCCAGTCCTGACGACAACCCAGGGCACCCTCCCCACAAGTGTCCCCTGAGCAGCGGTCAGCCAGGCCACTCTGCCCCAGGAACCAGGAAAGAGTTGGCTTTTCTGCAAGAGCAGGGAGACCCACGAGGGAGGGGCTGGCTCAGAGCTTCGAGGACAAACCAGAGCAGAGGGGTCTGCCCACCTCCTGGACCCCCAAAGGCCATGGGCTGTGCTGCAAGGCCTTGTGTCATAGCCCCCATCCCCTGGGCTACCTTGAACGGCCACTGCCCTGCCCGAATTAAGGCTGTTTCCGTGCCTGGGCACAGATGTGAAGAGCCAGGCCCTGGCTCTGCAGCCAGGAAGCAGATGGCTCCAGTGCGAGCCCCATGCTGTGCCCGGCCTGCAGGACACTCAGACCCAAGTGCGGTCAGCGTGCCGGCCCACCTGCCCTGGATGGCCCACCGACGCCCATGTGCCTGACATGGACCTGGCACCTGGAAAGTGCTCAGGTAACCGCTGCCTGAGTGGTTAGCACCACAGGAACCCGCCCCCTTGTCCCCCTCTCTGTGCAAAGACCCATCGGCACCCCCAGGGCACATGGCCCTGTGCACCAGCGCAGCACCACAGTCCCCACCCTCATCCTGGGGTGGCCTCCAGGTGACACCTAGAGCAGCCGCTGCCTCCGATGCTCCATCCCACCTACCCGCCCTGCAGGCAAACGCCCCCCATGTGGTCCCATCAGAGGGGAAGCCAGGGCTGCCAGCAGGCCCCGGTTGGGACAGTGGTGCCCTGTGGGAGGGACCCGCCAGCTTATCAGTACCCCCTACCCGAAAGGGCTCTTCTCATGGTGCAGCCACTGTCACCAACAAGGAGGCAGAGGACATGGGACAGGCAGGAAGCTGGGGACCAAGCCAAGGGAGGCAGGCAGACAGGTCAGGGTCCCCCAGCAAGGACAGCACTCACTGACTTGGGACAGGCAGCAGCCCACAGTTAGGGGACCAGCCACCCTAAGGTTTGCACTGAAAATCCCATATCCCAGGCAAATCCGGACAGTTGGGCACCCTACCCGATGGTCCTGGGTGACAAAGGGGACAGTCTTGCCGAGCTCTGGGCCTTGGGCTGGACTTGGATGTGAGCTCTAGGGACCAGTGTGCACTGAGCACTCACTACTAGGGCAAGGCCCTGCGCCAGGCGCGTGGCCTGAACTCGGTGGTTTCTTCTCGAGCACAACCTGGAGTTGGTCTTGCGGGCTCCTTACTTAGTTCGTAGTTGACCAGGATGAGACACAGGGTGGGCAACTTGCCCGAGGTCACTGGGCTGCTCCATGGCCCGTGCGGGAGCACGTTTGCGTGTGTGCGCACACACGTACCTCCCCACACACCTGCACGGGACATCGGGGACACTCACACGGGGTCCCCACAATAAGCCCAGTTGCTTTTCTCTGTTCACAGCTTTTCCCTGTTGAGCTGGCGCAGGTCCCTGGTCACGCTGCCTTCGCTGCCTTATTAGATTTTGTGCTGGGGGAAGGGGACTCGCTCTTTTTAAAATTATAGTCATGATTCCGGCTAAGTGTGCGAGGTGGAATTGGCTTCCTCGGGGGAATACTTCAATTTAGCTTTCAACTGTTCTTAGCACCTGGGCCTTCTCCCCCGGGGTTACTCCAAGTGAGAATCTAGACCAGAGCCGGGGCGCCGCCTCGCCGGGCGCCCGTGAGAAGCGTCCGTGGGCTGCAAGGCTGAGGGCCAGCCTCGACCCGCCAAGCGGCAGGGAGAACCGGGTCCTTGCGGGGACGTCCCCCTGCTCCCTCCCCGGCCGCAGTCCCGAGACCTGGCCTGCCCATCGTGGTCGCAGCAATCAGCCCCTCCCGGGCCACAAGAGGCACTCGCCCTGCCTGGAACTCACGGCGGGCGGGCAGGACGGAGCCCTCCTCGGGGCACCTCCCTGACATCCCTGATCTCAGCAAGATTCCCTGCAGCCAGGCGCGGGACCCCAGGTGGCTTCAGAGGCCAGGAGGAGATGAGGAGGAGGCCGACGGGGCAGAGTCAGGGGCTGAGCACTGAGTGCCACCATCTCCAGACACACTGTGCCCACCCGGACGACACAGGCCTGCAGGCCCACGCCTGAGTGAGCACCACGCCTGCGAACCCCAGAACCAGGGGCCCCGAGTCCGCCCTCTCCTCCAGTCTGCCTGACCCAGGAGCTGGCACAGTGAGCTCACGGAGCAGCTGTGCCCGGGTGAGAGCCCGGAGGTGTCAGCAGCAACGAAGACTGTCCCTGCTGCTGACGCTTTCCCAGCCCAGACCAGTGCCCACCCGGCCTCCAGGCTCAACAATGAGTTGACTCCTGGGAAGTCCCTTCCTTGCCTGGAAATTCTGGAAGGCAGCATGACAAGGCTGAAAGTGTGCTTGGGAGTTGGTACTCTGAGTGCGAATCCAGATCCCAGCCGTCTAGGAGGCAGGAGAGTCGGGGGAGGCCCAGGACCCAGGGTCAGACGCCCGAGGGTGGGTGCTGCCCAAGACGCCACGGGCAGGGCCCCGCTCTGCCCTCCCACGTCCTTGTCTATAGACTGGGAAATGGGGTGCCCATCACCTGGGGCTGCGTCAGAGACTAAGTCACCCTCCGTGCACCTGCCGTGCCAGGCATACAGTCCCCGACGACAGCACTACGGAGACAGCCCGTCTCCAGTGCCCTGGGCTGGCCTGAGCCTCAGTGTTCTCATCTGTGCCAGAGACTCTCACTGCTACTAATGTGCGCGCTCAATTTGGTCACGGAGTGCCTGCAGGCTTCAAACGTGGCACCTGGGAGAGTGTGCAGCACATACCAGGCTCCGGGCCTGGCCTCCTCCCCTCCTGATGTTTCGCTTTGGGGACCAAGAAGTCAATGCACAAGGAAAGGCAACGAGGGCCCAGACACCAGTGGCACCCCGACAACCCCGGGAAGCTCGGCCCAGCCTCCCACGCCTGCCCGGAGCCACGCCCGTGGCATGCGGCTCAGGAGGTCCAGGCAGGCGCGGTGGGCAGACTTGGCCTTTCAAGTTCCCTCGACATCCGGGTTGGAATAAAGCAGAGTTCCTGCTCGACCTCTGTCCACGCCCCAGGTTGGAGGACCAGGACCCAGGTGGCAGGTGGAGGGCCCCTCCCCTCGTCCCCACGGGAGCCCGGCTGCCGCCCTTACCCGACGTGCCGGTGCCTCTTGCCATCCTCGCCCGCAACCAGCCTGTTGAGCGAGGGGGACCGGCTGCGGGGCCCGGGGATGTAGTTCCCGATGGTCTTCACGGCGCCATCGGGCCTGCCGGGCGTCGGCTGCAGCAGCTGCGGCGAGAGGCTGCGGTGGGAGGCGGCCGGCGGGCAGACGGCCCACTCGGGCACGCTGGCGTTGAGGTTGTTGTCGCTGTTGGAGCGCAGCAGCACCCGGGGGGCGGCCAGCGTGTTGGGGGGCCTCCGCCTCCGGTTGGAGTACGCCGGCGCCTCTCGGAAGGGCACTGTGGGGAGAGGACACAGGTGGGTGAGTGGCTCTGAGCGGCGGTCGGCGCCCGCCTGCACGCGCCCACGCCCCCATGCGAGCCGGGGGAGGGGGCTGTGAGTTCTGTGCCCTGTCCCCAGCGGGACCCCACCAGGCCAGAACTCATCAGCCCTGACACAGAAGCAGAGACAGGTGGGGACCCGGCACATCCCCGCCGCAGGGAGACTCAAGCCAGCGCTGCACATGGAAGGGACGCGGGGTCCCAGCTTCCACCCGGGCAGCCCAGCGGACGCCGCTGCCAGCCCCGACCCGTGTGGAGATGGGCCGCCCCATCCCACAGCGCAGTCGGGACCCTGGGCTGGGGCGAAGCTCCTCTTCCTGAGCTTGGCCCCTGTGACGGGCTGAGCTGTGACACCCGCCCCCACGGCATTTGTCTAGGTCCTGACCCCGGCCCCCCGTGTCTCAGAATGCGACGGTATTTGGAGAAGGGTCTTCGTGGAGGGATCGAGGGTAGGTGGTCACTAGGGTGGGCCCTAATCTGAGAGGACTGGTGTCCCTGTAAGAGGAGGAGGTCAGGACGAGGAAACACACACAGAGGGATGGCCACAGAGGACACAGGCAGAAGTGGCCATCCGCAAGCCAAGGAGGCCTCGGAAGGGACCAACCCTGAGACACCTTCATCTCCGACTTCCGGCCCCCGGCCCCTGCGACAGTGCATGTCTGGTGTTCAAGCCGCCCGTCTGTGGTGCCCGTCACGGCAGCCCGAGCAAACCCACGGACTCCGGATTACTGGTCACCGGGAGGCCACCTCCCCCTCACCACGAGTGCCCCCTTCCCCTGTGCCATCAGCCTGGTCACGGGGGAGGGCGGGGTGGACACGCCTCATCTGGCTTCCAGCGGAGCTCTAGCTGGCACAGCGCCCTCGCTGTCCCAATTCAGTGTGCCCAGGGGCTCAGAACAGGGGCGGCAGCCCCCAGGAGCCCTGAGGGGTGGCAGCCACGTCACACCGGCCTGGGCTGCTCAGAGGGCTGGAGCCCGGGACAGCGGCCACGCTTTCCAAGAAGAGCACCCCCAGGAACTCGGCCCTCCGAGCCGCAGGGCAACGGCAGGTGCCACTGACTGCCTGGGACACCAGGCTCTTCCCGGCTCTCTGATGCCCAAGGCGGCTTTTCCCACTGGCCACGGGATTCACACCCCGGGAGTGGAAGCCCCACTGGCTCTGCCGTTCACACTGCCCAGGGCCAGCGCTGCCACTCGGCCAACAGGAAGCTGCAAGGCAAGAGAAAGCCACGTCCTCCCAGGGGGCGTGAACCGGGGAAGAGACCTTAACGCCTCCAAGGAGAAGAATGTCACAAGTAATTCAGGACACGAGTGGCACTGGCAGAGCTCATGGGGACAGAGGTGGCAAAGGCAGAGCTCGCGGGGACAGAGGTGGCGCTGGCAGAGCTCATGGGGACAGAGGTGGCAAAGGCAGAGCTCATGGGGACAGAGGTGGCACTGGCAGAGCTCATGGGGACAGAGGTGGCAAAGGCAGAGCTCGCGGGGACAGAGGTGACAAAGGCAGAGCTCATGGGGACAGAGGTGGCACTGGCAGAGCTCGCGGGGACAGAGGTGGTGCTGGCAGAGCTCACTAGTGACAGAGGTGGCACTGGCAGAGCTCAGCTGTAGCTCTGCACGTGCCACCTCTGTCCCCGGCGACTCTGCCGCGTTTGCCGACCTCTGTCCCCGAGCCTGCCGGTGCCGACCTTCTGTCCCCAATAACTCTGCCAGTGCCACCTTCTGGTCCCATGAGCTTGCCAAGTTGCCACCTCTGTCCCCATGACTCTGCCAGTGCCACCTCTGCCCCGCGAGCTCTGCTGGTCCACTCTGTCCCCGCGAGCTCATGCCCAGTGCACCGCTGTCCCGTGAGCTCTGCAGGACCTCTGTCCCCGAAGAGCTCTGCCTAGTGCCACCTCTGTCCCCTGGTGGCCTGCCATAACACCTCTGTCACTAGTGAGGCTCTGCCTAGTGCAACTCCCTTCCCGCCATGACTCTGCCAGTCGGCTACCTCTGTCCCCTGTGAGCTCGGCAGTACCCATCTGTCCTAGTGAGCTCTGCCAGTGCTACCTCTGTCCCCGAGAGGCCTCCTGCGCAGCGCACAAA